CCCAACCACTCTTTCTCTAAAGATTTTCATTTATTTTTTCCAGTCTTTTTTCATAAGGGGATTTAATTTCATCCAAATTGTCCTTGACATTTAACACATCTTTATTTTCCTTATCCTCTGGCAGAGCAAAGGTGACTATTTTTGAGCCTTCTTTTTGTTGTTTAACATCTTTGCTTTCTTCAGCGTCATTATCTTCATCCATTTTAGAAATGCTTTCTTCACCCACTTCTTTTCAGCAATTCCTTCCTCTTTTTTGTCTGAACTCAGCTCAGCATGATGAACATTTGGTGTCTTCATCACTCTGAAAACAGATCTAAGAAATCTTCACATTTTAAATTTCTGGAATTTTACCTGACTTAAGTTTTTGATTTTCAAACAGTCCTCCATCTTCATCAGAACCATCCTCTTCATACTCCACTTCCTCATTGCCTGGGAGAAGACTCATGTCCTCATCCTTATTGTTTCACTAACTGTGTTTTGGAAGTAGTATAAAGTTGGTTCCTTTTGTAATTCCATTTGTTGCCAAATCAGTTATCATCAAAATTGTTTATCACAAATTTTTCTAAATGACTTCCAGGGGTGCTACCATCCTCTACCATTTTTTTTTTTTTTTTTTTGAGACAAGGTTTGCTGTGTAATTCAGGCTGGCTTTGAAATCTCAGTGATCCTCCTGCCTCACCTTTTGAGTGCTGAGATTACAGGTGTGTGCCACCATATCTGGCTTCTACCATTTTATTAAAGAAAGACATGATTCTCACCTCTTCTTTTATGCGTGGGCTCATTCATTCAGTCATTTATTTATATCACTTGGACTTGTGGATAGCTATTTTATACTTTTGACTGTAATCCCACAGTATTTTTGTTGTCATTGCTCAAATGGCTCCAGTTTTAGTCTTTGGTGGCTCCTTCTGTTGGCTCTTGTGTCCTTTTGACGTGCCTTCATCACTCTTTGTTCTCTCAGTACTTCCTTATGTTCTATTAGTGCAAGACACACCAACTCATCTTGCATATTTTGTGTCCCATCCTGGAGTCAGCCATTTGTCCGAGAAGTTGGGGTTCCATTGAGGTCTGAGTGCTAAGGGTGCTCATTACTACTGGGGAGTCTTTCTTTTAAGCCCTCTCAGATGGCAGAGCAAGGAAATACACACATGTAGCCTAACCTATGTGTGTATAGATCTATAAACATCTGTATATGTGGCCAACTGTATTTGTCAACTAGTGTTGTGATTATGTGCATTTCCTTTTGGTCTTTACTCTGCCTTTAATCTCACTTGCAAAATAATTTAGCCCTTTCCCTCCCACCCTGGTTGAAGTTTCTAATACAGTTCCACCCTCTTGTTCCATGCACACTGGGAATCAGTTGTCCCTGTCATACCTGCGGGATACTGTGGCTAGACGACGCTGGGTGTTCCAAATTAAGATGGTGTTAACCATAATTTCTCTCAGCACTAGTTAGTAATATTTATGTATGTTGTTAAATTTGTCTCCCCTATAAAGTTTTGTCCCTAGATAGCCTATATATTTTCTTGAACCTGAGAATTTAGTGTCTCTGACCTTGTTGTAAATGAAATCCTTACATCTCCTTTTAAAGTTTAAATTCCAGTTGTTTTCTGCTGGTAAATAACAATTGATTGACTAATTAATTTTGGTGCTAGGAATTAAACCCAAAGCCTGGTGCTTGCTGAGCATATACTTTCCACTGAGCTACACCCCCAACTTCTACATATTATATATA